AACATTGTGTACATTGATCTTCAAACAGTGTTTCAATTATGGTTTCTGTGTCCTATTTTGAAACAATCGCATTATATTACATTTTGAAAGTCAGTGTCAAGTTTCTTTTTTTTAAGAGTATATATATATATATATTTTATGTATATATTTTGTTTATATTGTATATAGTGTCTCATAAGCCAATGTCTAGCTGGACGCACTCCATACACTTTTTGTCATATGTGCATCGATTTTATATTGTACATGTTGTGCCTGTGACACTTTAATAAACATTTTACTACAACTACTGTTTGGAGAAGCGAACAGCATATAATTGGATTTAAACAGAAAGCTTTTACATCCTTCAAAACAATGCTATAGGGAATCGATTTGCGTGTTAGGCTACGATGACTATTCCATAAACATTAAGATGAGAGTTTGAACCCATCTCTCTACCAACTCGTTTATTTCGATCCATCAATATCGTGATTGTTTTCAAATCGGGGAACTGGGTTGGGACGTGTTCAGTCTTTGTGCCCTGGGGCGGTATTCATTAAAGAATTTAAGTCTGAAAAAAAACTTAAGTCTTTAAGATTCATGAAGCGACTTAGCGACTTAGGCTTAAGTTTTACCAATTTCTGACTTAAATCTTAAGACTGGGTAGGGGTAGGCTTAACTACAAGGTGTTTGACTTAAGTCAATAAACAAAATGACTGCCGTACCGCTAGGTCGTCGTTCGTTTCATCAAAGAAGACAAAGTCTTGTTGAACACAACGATGAGGAGTTAATACGGCGATACCGTCTAGATGGAAATGGCATTAGATACGCAGCTAATTTAATAGCAGCTGACGTGGAGCCTGCAACTAACCGTAACCACGCACTTGACGAGATACAAAAGACGCTTATCACATTAAGGTACTTTGCAACGGGAAAGTTTCAGTTGTGTAATGCAGATGATCAAGGTGTCACCCAGCCCACCATTTTCAGAGTCGTAAATCAGTGCATCACCAGTTTGTCATCTGACAGGATTGTAAAACAGTTTGTTGTACTGACGAGTCCCGTTTCCTACCCACGCGTGCTGATGGGCGCGCACGTGTCTACACACGTCGGGTTGAACGTTACGCCCCCAACTGTGTGCATGAGGTTGTCCCATTTGGCGGCGGGAGTGTCATGGTATGGGCCGGAATTCATCACGGTGGTTGGACGCCTCTCGTGTGTGTGGCAGGTGCATTGACAGGTGTGCGTTACAGAGACTTGATCCTACAGCCTTACGTTCTTCCTCACGTCAACGTTTATGGCGGACAGTTCCATCAGGACAACGCTCGACCGCATATTGCACGTGTTTGTCAGGACTTCTTACAGCAAAACAACATCCAGACATTACCTTGGCCAGCCCGGTCACCAGATTTGTCCCCGATTGAGCATCTGTGGGACGAGTTGGATCGACGCGTTCGCAGAAGGAATCCACCGCCCCAAACACTTCCGGCGCTTCTTGATGCACTTCAGCATGAATGGCAGCACATCCAACAGCGTGTTATTGACAACTTGATCGCATCTATTGGTCGTCGGTGTCAAGCGGTGATTGATGCACGTGGTGGGCACAACCGATACTGACATTTTCTGTACCCCTGTGACATTAACTGTATCGTGTACGTGTGTCTGTCTAGGTGACACGATTAATGTTTTGAACATTGTGTACATTGATCTTCAAACAGTGTTTCAATTATGGTTTCTGTGTCCTATTTTGAAACAATCGCATTATATTACATTTTGAAAGTCAGTGTCAAGTTTCTTTTTTTTGAAGAGTATATATATATATATTATATATATTATGTATATATTTTGTTAATATTGTATATAGTGTCTCATAAGCCAATGTCTAGCTGGACGCACTCCATACACTTTTTGTCATATGTGCATCGATTTTATATTGTACATGTTGTGCCTGTGACACTTTAATAAACATTTTACTACAACTACTGTTTGGAGAAGCGAACAGCATATAATTGGATTTAAACAGAAAGCTTTTACATCCTTCAAAACAATGCTATAGGGAATCGATTTGCGTGTTAGGCTACGATGACTATTCCATAAACATTAAGATGAGAGTTTGAACCCATCTCTCTACCAACTCGTTTATTTCGATCCATCAATATCGTGATTGTTTTCAAATCGGGGAACTGGGTTGGGACGTGTTCAGTCTTTGTGCCCTGGGGCGGTATTCATTAAAGAATTTAAGTCTGAAAAAAAACTTAAGTCTTTAAGATTTGACTTAAGTCATATTCATGAAGCGACTTAGGATTAAGTTTTACCAATTTCTGACTTAAATCTTAAGACTGGGTAGGGGTTGGCTTAACTACAGACCGCCTCCGTGGTCTTGTGGTAGAGCGTCCGCCCGGAGAGCGGAAGGTCCAGGGTTCGATCCCGGGCCGCGTCATACAAAAAGACGTTAAAAGATTGTACTTGTTGTTACCCTGTCTGGCGCTCGGCATTAAGGGGCTAAAACAAGGACTGGTCGGCTCGGAGTCGTATACTGTGTCTGAGTGGGGTATTCATGTTAAACTGCGGCATGGTATCTCAGTGAGCTAGCACTATAAATCGGCATCAGTCCGGACTAGTACAAGCAGCCACACACACACATACACGTGCATGCACGTCGCTATATAAGTGCAATAATCTTGGACGCGACGTTAAACCCAATTTCACCTCACCACTTAACTACAAGGTGTTTGACTTAAGTCAGTAAACAAAATGGCTGCCGTACCGCTAGGTCGTCTTTCGTTTCATCAAAGAAGACAAAGTCTTGTTGAATACAACGATGAGGAGTTGATACGGCGATACCGTTTAGATGGAAATGGCATTAGGTACGTAGCTAATTTAATAGCAGCTGACGTGGAGCCTGCAACCAACCGTAACCACGCACTTGACGAGATACAAAAGACGCTGATCACATTAAGGTACTTTGCAACGGGAAAGTTTCAGTTGTGTAATGCAGATAATCAAGGTGTCACCCAGCCCACCATTTCCAGAGTTGTAAATCAGTGCATCACCAGGATTGTGAAACAGTTTGTCCGCTTCCCCCTGCAACTCGGGGACATTAGGCGTCACCAAACCAACTTTTATCACATTGCGAACTTTCCCGGAGTTGTCGGGGTGATCGATGGTACCCACGTACAAATCCAGGCACCAACAGTAAACGAAAATGAATACGTAAACCGACATCATTATCACAGTATAAATACGCAGATCGCTTTTGACAGCGAGTCATTGACGTTGTTGCTCCGTGGCCAGGATCGACACACGATTCACGCATGTTGACAAACAGCGGGCTCTACCAGCTATTCGAGCGCAATGTTGTCCCCACCGGATGTCACCTTCTCGGTGGCAGTGGTTATCCCTGCAAGAAGTGGCTACTGACCCCTTTCCTAAGACCATTGGCGGGATCACAAACTACAACAGGTATGTAAAGTTTCGTGTTACTTTGCCGATCGTAATCAACAACTTAGAGTGATGTCCCTTGTATTTACCTCGATTACATATTTGCCCATCATTCTTACATAGAGCACAAACACAATATTTGGTCTGGATAATCGAAGCAATTACAAAAACATTCTTAATGAAATACGGAATATTATTCACACAATAACCATATGTTTTTTATTTTAACATCTATTATTATGTCTATGTTAGTTGTTCTAAATGTAGAAGTAATCATGTGCTGTTTTGGTAAACATGCTGAATATTTGTGGTAATTAGGAATATCTTTTTAAACATTACCAGTATGAATTTCCTAAATAATCTAAAGTGTAAATTATTGTTTTCACATGATCAAAATTATTTCTTAAACAAGTGACATTTATCAATAAAGAGATAAATATATTTTTCTTAAACCCTGTTGAAGATTAATGTTACAGGTTACACTCTGATATGTTATGTTTTTTTCAGGTCACACAAAAGAACCAGGAGCATAGTAGAAAGGGCCATCGGTCAACTCAAACGCAGATTTCCTGTTCTCCATGGGGAAATCAGGTTAAAACCTGAGAAGGCTTGTAAGGTAAAACTTATGATAAACAAATGTTAATTTTTGTGCACTATTTATTTGCCACACAAATAAGTTCAACAGAACAGAAATGTAACAAAGCTAAATGACATTAAATATATAAGATAACAATTCCTAGAGAGGAAAGCAATGATTGAAAAAAGCAACAAGATTTTATTGAGTTACATAATTATTACAAACATGGTTGTTTGAATTTATGTTAACAAATGCCAATGAGAATATGAAAAGAACAATGCAGTGGCTCATCATCTATTAAAGTTTGTACATGGACATGAACTTGTTCAGATTGACTTGTATCTAAATCAAGTGAATATATAGTGAATATTATATATACAGTTATGTCTTTAAGGCAATAACAGAGCAGTTGTAGATTGGTAATGACTAGGAGCAGATAAGGGAAAATTCATAAATATATGAAGTATAAAATTGTTAAGATGCATATGGAGATGGTCAGGAAATGATGGGGTTGTATGAATTTGTTGGTTATTTACAGTAATATTTGTATGTTCAATTGAAGGCAGGTAAAAGCCTAAATGTTAAGTGTAATGATGTTAATTTATCATTAATGATTTCATATTTTAGGCGATAATAGCATGTGCTGTCCTACACAACATATGCAAGGACAGACATATCCCAGTTCCACCCACTGATGGGCATGATGGACTTGGCAGGCTTGATGGACAGAATGGAGCTCAAGCAGTGACTGCTCCACCAGTAGCTGCACTCAGATACCGGGAGCACTTTGCCAATACCAACTTTCCATGTAAGATAATTTATTTTAATTTTCAACATTTCCTCATAATAAATCCAATTTGTATCAGCAGTACATTCTTTGCAAAGCATCTTTTGTTTTTAATCATCTTAATTATCCCTCACCCTCTTAAATATGCAATATTCTAAATGCAATGTACTATTTCTCAAAAATGTTCCACAATAGTCTTTCTACCAGAATCTGTTGTATCTAGTTGAGGTTGTGGATCGGACATGGCGATGTCAAAAATCTCCCTGCAACAGAAAATATTAAAGTTTTAATTGTAATTTTCACATAAATGTTCTTTTCAATTTCAACAAGCCTGTTGTTTGCAGCTACCCTATGTATAACTTGCTGTTCTATAATCATATGCAATTTTGTATAAATGTTACACCATGAATAACTTATTAAACCACGGTGCTGTGGATCTAATTAGTATAAATGTTTTAAAAAAAATAATATCAACACCCCAATTGTGCACAAATTAAGTCAATTGCTATTTAAACAATTGTGATATGATTATAAATGTAAATGTTCTCATAATAATAACCTGTAGAGTTAAGGGAAAGTAGTAAGTGTCTTACAATTGTGGAAATATTAAAATATTAAGGGGGCCGAACATTTTGTGAGGGTGCTGAGATTATATTCAAAAAGTAGTCTGATCCCGAAAATATATAAAATATTTTTCTCAAGTTAATGTATTCAGCCGACAATTGAGATGTTAATACTTTGGATATCACTTCAAGATTTCATATTTAGCCCCAAGTCTGCTGCAAGGGCACTGTCAGTAAAAAAACTCAAATTGGAAATAACAAATGTCGCAGTTTATGATAGTAATAGAATATGTTATGCCTATAGCAGAGGTGACTTAAATTCCACTGATAAGATGACCAATCACCAATAGTGATGATTCCATGCTCAGTGGTAGAATGTTGCATTAGAACTATATGCAGTGGTAAATACTAGTGACAATATTGTTTCTGAAAATCAGCAAGTTGGCTACAGGGACAGGTGATTTATTATAGGGGTGTGTGGGATTTGTTATACTAATATTTAAATAATGTTCTATTTAATCGATTTAAAAAAAAAAAAAATTCCTCCACCAGGCTCCCTCTCCAGCCCACAATAAATTGCAAGTCCCCTAATCATGCATTTATAGTCGCTTGATTGGCGTACTAATATATCTCGGATAAGTTAAATTAGTAGATGTACATATAACTTTATAAAACTCATGTCTGGTGTAAATACTACATTTGTGTACAACGACTGCCTGAGTGACAGACAACGACAAGTGTCACTGTACCTGCCACGCCTCTTGACGCCTCGCCGATGTCACGCCCGGACCAAACTTTCCTTCCAAACACATGTACATTTGCTTTCACAAGTTCCGTCAACAGTAAAACCTCCTCTTTCGACCAGTAAGACTTCTTCCTCTTCTTCATATCGGCCTCTGACATGACGTTGGCAATGTGGACAAAGTTTCGCTGTGTGGGTCGTCTGCCATAAATAGCAACCGTGAAATCCCACCGAAAAAGACGCTCACACCTTTTTTTTTTAAAGAGTTCCACCGGAAGTTTAAAAATAGCTGGGATTCCCCCTAGTAATCACGCGGGTACGTACTACGAAACTGACTTAGTTTTTCTTTTGAGTCTTAGCTAAGTTTCGGACTTAGCATATTTATGAATATCAACGTAAGTCTCAGGCTAAGCTAAGTCAGATTTCAAAAACTTAAGTTAAGACTTAAGAAAACTCCCCTGGCTGATTTCATGACTTTGTACCCCGAACGGGTGGATTGTTGGTTATGCATTAGTTTGTCCGATTCTAATACGATTACTGTTTTTCGAAATAGATCCGTGAAGATTCCGGGGTAGAATACGTCTTCAGCAACCCATGCTTGCCGTAATTTTAAGGTGACTATGCTTGTCGTAAAAGGCGACTAAAGGGATCGGGTTGTCAGGCTGACTTGGTTGATGCATGTCATACAGCTCACACTTTAACCTTAAATAATACCATGGTGCTTTTTCACAGAATTAATTACCAAACAAAAACACCTTCTTAATAGATGTTGGTAATTCCAGGACAATGATATCTACTGGTGTGTAGGACCCGTGAAGAATAGGTCTTCAGCAACCCATGCTTGCCGCAAGAGGCGACTGTGCCTGCCGTAAAATGCGACTAGGGATCGGGTGGTCAGGCTTGCATAGTTGGTTGATGCATGTCATCGATCCAAATTTTGAGGATCGATGTTCATGATGTAAATCACTGGATTGTCTAGTCCAGACTCGATTATTTACAGACCGCCGTCATATAGCTGTAATATTGCTGAGTGCGGCGTAAAACAACAAACCAAACCCGAAAAACATCCATATTCGGGTAGGTCACAATTGTGCATCCTCGCATGATTCACGACTTAAATCACAAACGACTTCTTTATAGTTTGAAAACATGTCAGATATGTAAGCTGAACCAAGTTCAAATATCAGCTGCTTTCGCAAATCTGTCGTACTGATGATTGGGTAACATTCCAGACTCGATTATTTACAGATCGCCGTCATATAGCTGGAATATTGCTGAGTGCGGCGTTAAAAAATAAACAAACAAACAAACTCATGATGTCAATCACTGGATTGTCTGGTCCAGACCGCTGTCATATAGCTGGAATATTGCTAAGTGCGATAAGTGCTAAGTTGAACAACAAACAAACAAAACAAATCTTATTTTATACAGAACTCAATGTTCTAATCAGTTGGTATCTGTGTTTGAAATTATACTCTCATTTTTCTCACAGTGAAAGTAGGAAGCTCACAGAAAGTGTGAAAATGTCATGCCGTTATGACGCCTTCGGTTTCCGAGCTAAACAGGCCTCAGTTATCCCCCCAGATATTATGACGTAATTGGTGCCAATTTACCTGGGTCCTTGTCTTGTCACAACGCAAGAGATGTCAAGTACCAGTTTATGGTGAGACAACATGGCATCCAATGAATTGCCTGATCCAAAGAATTTCCCTTGACCCATCAAGAAATCGCTTATGAACCAACAGAGCAAATTCCGTGGTATGGAAACGATGAAAAGCAAGTGGAAATAAGAGAAGACCCACATCACCTGATGTGTCACCCGACCCCGACTCGACATCTACACAATTAGGCCTACCAGTGACTACGTGGTAAGAATAACACTTTGATGTGTGTATACCTAATTATACCCCCGTTTACGAACTAAATCGGGGTATATAGCGTTCCGTCTGTCCGTCCTTCCGTCCGAGCTTTTGTACGGCCCGTCACTTTTTAACCATGCACCCTAGCTTCACCAAACTTGCTACACACATTAACCACAATGAGTACTTGTGCCTTTTGCTAGTTTGAAGATTCTGATTTTTTTAATTTTTGCCGTTTCCATGGAAACATTAGAAACTTAAACTTTTAAGGTGGGTGTTTTGTACGGCCCATATCTTTTTAACCATGCACCCTAGCTTCACCAACGTTTTTACACACATTAAATACAATGAGTACTTGTGCCTTTTGCTAGTTTGAAGATTCTGAATTTTTTTAATTTTTGCCGTTTCCATGGAAACATTAGAAACTTAAACTTTTAGGGTGGGTGTTTTTTACGGCCCATATCTTTTTAACCATGCATCCTAGCTTCACCAAACGTGCTACATCCATTTACCACAATGAGTACTTGTGCCTTTTGCTACACCCATTTACAACAATGAGTACTTGTGCCTTTTGCTAGTTTGAAGATTCTTTTTAAAATTTTTCCCGTTTCCATGGACGCATTAAGAAACTTAAACTTTTAAGGTGGGTGGTTTGTACGGCCCATATCTTTTTAACTATGCATCCAAACTTCATCAAGCTTGCTAACCACAAGTACCACAATGAGTACTTGTGCCTTTTGCTAGTTTGAGGATTCTGAATTTTTTTTATATTTGCCGTTTCCATGGAATCATGGTGAAACATAAATTTTGGATAGAGTTTTTGTACGATCTATGTTTACAATATTATGTATCCTAGCTTCAGCAAACTTGCTACATTAACCACTATGATTGTATTTTATCTTTTATAAGATTCTGAAAGTTTTTCTCTTTTGCTGTTTTCATGGAAACATGATGGAATTTAGAAAATTTGATGACTTGTTTTGTATAGCTAATATATTTTCCAAAATTGTTTCCACACATGTAGATCATCATAAGTATCCGTGCTTTGTGTGAGTTTGAATTTATGAATTCTTTACCATATCTGTTAAGGCTAGATTATCAATTATCAGAAATTATCAATTTATTGATTTTCTTATATGATATTTGTTGTTGACCAGCGGGGATGACGGGGGTATGTGAGCTTTGCTCACTTCTTTCTTGTTACCTATGCTCCGACTAACGGGATCGGGTATCAGGCTCGCTTCTTCGTTGATGCATGTCATTGATCCTAATTGCGTGGATCGATGCTCGTGATCTTAATCACTGGATTGTCTGGTCCAGACTCGGTTAATACAGACCGCCGTCATATAGCTGGAATATTGCTGAGTGCGGCGTTAAACAACAAACCAACCTATATGCTCATTATTACTGTGGTATATTTACATGCTAGTCATTGGCGCTATTTGGTTTGCGCTATATTCCCGCCAATATATGATGATGTCATATATATGACATCATGGTTAACGCACGAGTGGGCAGTTTTGCAGTGGCGGTCCGATGTACCAGACGTGAATGAAGTTGTGTTCTGATCAATATGCTTGTGTTGCGGTCTGGTATAAGTGAAATCTACCATCAGGGTAGTACACGACAATTGGCGACGAGGATGGGATCGATCGCTGCAAATAACTGACAAGATCGCCTGTGACTAAAGCTAAAGCTAAAGGCTTCGCGTTCTACAGGTGCGCGTGTGTGAACACTTCAGCGGTGTCAACGTTAGTGTGCAAATTCTACAGGAATTTCTGGAAAAGAGGACCAAAAGACTGTCTAAAGGACATTTGGACATTTAGTTCAACAAGTGTGAACTTTTGAATATCGCGAAACATGTGCTTGATTCAGTGACAGTAGATTCAAGTGGAAATTCACCGGCAAGGATTCCAAAGGAATTCATGGAAGTGTTATGGATTATGTGTAAGGATATTCTGAAATAGGGTACTGTAAGCTTTTATCATTTACTGGCCAGGGATCGCAATCTAGAACTATTTAGGAGAACTGATACGGTAGTTTATAAATAGATAGAGATTTAACGAGATCTCGTGAGATCCAAGATGGCGGCGCCCATGGGTTCAATGACTGAATTTGTTGCCGATAAATAAGATTGGTGTAGTTATAGAAAAAGGCTAGAAATTTGGATGAGGGCTAACAAAATAAGAAAACGAAGATCGAGCAATTGTATTTTTGGCTACAATAGGTCCCACAGCGTTTGAATTATTGGTTTCACTTAGGGCCCCGGAAGATATTGCCGATGTCAGTTTTGACGATCTTCTCTCAGAACTCACTAGATATTCTCAGCCTATCAGAAATGTTATTTGGGAAAGACAGACATTTAGCGAGAGAAAACAGGCAGAAAATGAGTCCATATCAGATTACATGCTAGCTCTGAAACGTCTCAGCAAATATTGTGAATTTGAGTCAACATTGGAAGAAAGGCTAAGAGATCGTTTTGTGGGTGGAATCAGAAGCGTGGCTATTCAGAAGAAATTACTTACAGAAAGACAGCTTACATAGGGTAGGGCCTGTGAATTAGCTTTAGGAATGGAACTTGCAGATAAAGATTCCAAATCATTCAAGCCTCAGAATTCCGACCAGGTTAACCATGTCAATAGGGAAGGAAGAAAATTCACCAAAACCCATAGGCAATCCTGTTTTCGATGTAATGGCAATCACAATCCGGCAGACTGTTATCACAAAGAGAAAGAGTGTAATTACTGTCACAAAAAGGGACATTTGGTTAGGGCATGTAAATATAAGAACCAGGATCAAAGTTCAAAGAAGTCTAAGGGCAAATTCCAATTTAAGCACAAAAGGGACAAGCAGAACAAATCAGTACATTGTATTGAAGAAGATGATGATGGGAGTGATGATGAAGATGACTTTTTTCGTACAGAAACCTTATGTTCAGTGTTTGCTTCATCATGTGAGAATGCAGATGATGGGGGTTATGAAGTTCCCATTAAAATGGCAGGGATTCCAGTTAGCTTCTGTTTAGATACTGCAGCTGGGGTCACAATCATAGGGGAAAAGATGTACAAGGAGAAATACTCTCATATTCCATTGTATGATTGCAAGTCAAGGCTAAATGGTCATTCTGATCATCGAATTCCGGTAATTGGGGAGTTCCTGGCTACGGTAGAATATGAAGACCAGATAGAAGAGCTTCCAGTGATAGTTGCTAAGGGGGATAAGGTCCCGCTATTTGGAAGGAATTGGCTGAAACAGTTCAAGTTAAACTGGCAGAAAGTATTTTCTTTGAAAGTCAATTCAACAAAATCAGATATCTTGGAAGATATTATCACAAAGTATCCATCAGTGGTTAATGGAAAAGGGTTTATAAAAGAGTTCAAGGCTGATATCAGAGTTAAACCAGGAACGGTACCAAAGTTTTACAAGGCTAGACCAGTACTATATGCTATGAGGGAGAAAGTAGAACAAAAGCTAGATAGGTTAGAGAAAGAAAGCATACTGAAGAAGATTAATAGATCTCAGTGGGCATCTCCAATAGTGGTAGTACCAAAAGGGGACAAATCAATTAGGATTTGTGGGGATTACAAAGTGACTGTAAATCAAATTTGGGAAGAAAATATGAACCCCATGGCCACAGCAGAAGACCATTTTGCCTAAACTAGCAGGTGCTAAAGTATTTACGAAGATAACCTTGGCTAATGCTTATCAACAAGTAGAGTTAACTACAGAGTCCAAATCCCTACTGGTAATCAACACTCACAAGGGTCTATATGAATACAAGCGCTTGTCATTTGGTATCTCAACAGCACCAGCATTGTTTCAAGCAATTATGGACCAGATCATACAAGGTTTAGATGGAGTTGAAAGCCTATTTGACGATATTTTGGTTGGTACAGCTACTGAAGAAGAACACAAGGTGGTTCTTGAAGAAGTTCTACAACGACTTGAGCACTATGGGGTCAAGTCGCCAAAATGCAAGTTCATGACTGACAGTGTTGAGTACTTGGGTCACCGGATAGATGGCCATGGAATCCATCCATTGCAAGACAAAGTCGATGCCATTGAGAAAGCACCTTCATCAGAGACTGCAACTGAGCTTAGGTCATTTCTGGGTATGGTCAACTTTTACGGAAGATTCCTATCAAACATGTCAACAGTTCTGGTCTTAGAATTTCAAGAGCTTTCCAACGAGCCATCATGCACTAAAATCGCTTAATATTTCAGAAAAATGTGTTTTTCACCTCTCCAGCAAAAGGACTTCCAAGTCAGCAAACGGAAAAGACATGGTTCTACCTTGAGTGTTTGAGAAACGCGCCATTCAAACAGTTGTATTTCCCTAACGACCCCTTATAGGTGTGTCGGATTTGGTATCAAACGTCTTAGAATTTCTAGAGCTTTCCAACGAGCCATCATGCACTATAATCGCTGAAAATTTAAGAAAAATGTGTTTTTCACCTCTCCAGCAAAAGGGCTTCCAAGTCAGCAAATGGAAAAGACATGGTTCTACCTTGAGTGTTTGAGAAAAGCGCTAATTTTTCGTTTTAGGAGTAAATGTGCATGTCTTTTGTAACACTTTGCAGTGACCAATTATTTTCAAATCTTTTGGAAACATTGAAAGGGTTACATTGGCTATCCAACTGTGTTAAAATAAGCACAATGGTGTCGCGCATGCACGTGCGGTAGCACCCTAACAGAGGCCTCTGACGTCAATTTGGACACATTCAAACAGTTGTATTTCCCTAACGACCCCTTATAGGTGTGTCGGATTTTATATCAAACGTCTTAGAATTTCTAGAGCTTTCAAATGAGCCATCGTGCACTAAAATCGCTTAAAATTTAAGAAAAATGTCTTTTTCACCTCTCCAACAAAAGGACTTCCAAGTCAGCAAACGGAAAAGACATGGTTCTACCTTGAGTGTTTGAGAAACGCGCCAATTTTCGTTGTAGGAGTAAATGTGCATGTCTTTTGAAACACTTTGCAGTGACCAAATCTTTTCAAATCTTTTGGAAACATTGAAAGGGTTACATTGGCTATCCAACTGTGTTAAACTAACCACAATGGTGTCGCGCATGCGCGTGCGGTAGCACCCCACCAGAGGCCTCTGACGTCAATTTGGACACCTTCAAACAGTTGTATTCCCCTAACGACCCGTTATAGGTGTGTCGGATTTGGTATCAAACGTCTTAGAATTTCTAGAGCTTTCAAACGAGCCATCATGCACTAAAATCGCTAAATATTTAAGAAACATGTGTTTTTCACCTCTCGAGCAAAAGGACTTCCAAGTCAGCAAATGGAAAAGACATGGTTCTACCTTGAGTGTTTGAGAAACGCGCCAATTTTCGTTGTAGGAGTAAATGTGCATGTCTTTTAAAACACTTTACAGTGACCAAATCTTTTCGAATCTTTTGGAAACATTTAAAGGGTTACATTGGCTATCCAACTGTGTTAAAATGACCACAGTGGTGTCGCGCATGCACGTGCGGTAGCACCCTAACAGAAGCCTCTGACGTCAATTTGGACACCTTCAAACAGTTGTATTTCCCTAACGACCCCTTATAGGTGTGTCGGATGTGGTATCAAACGTCTTAGAATTTCAAGAGCTTTCAAACGAGCCATCATGCACTAAAATCGCTTAATATTTAAGAAAAATGTCTTTTTCACCTCTCGAGCAAAAGGACTTCCAAGTCAGCAAACGGAAAAGACATGGTTCTACCTTGAGTGTTTGAGAAACGCGCCAATTTTCGTTTTAGGAGTAAATGTGCATGTCTTTTGAAACACTTTGCAGTGACCAAATCTTTTCAAATCTTTTGGAAACATTGAAAGGGTTACATTGGCTATCCAACTGTGTTAAAATAAGCACAATGGTGTCGCGCATGCACGTGCGGTAGCACCCTACCAGAGGCCTCTGACGTCAATTTGGACACATTCAAACAGTTGTATTTCCCTAACGACCCCTTACAGGTGTGTCGGATTTGGTATCAAACGTCTTAGAATTTCAAGAGCTTTCAAACGAGCCATCATGCACTATAATCGCTTAAAATTTAAGAAAAATGTCTTTTTCACCTCTCCAACAAAAGGACTTCCAAGTCAGCTAATGGAAAAGACATGGTTCTACCCTGAGTGTTTGAGAAACGCGCCAATTTTCGTTTTAGGAGTAAATGTGCATGTCTTTTGAAACACTTTGCAGTGACCAATTATTTTCAAATCTTTTGGAAACATTGAAAGGGTTACATTGGCTATCCAACTGTGTTAAAATAAGCACAATGGTGTCGCGCATGCACGTGCGGTAGCACCCTACCAGAGGCCTCTGACGTCAATTTGGACACATTCAAACAGTTGTATTTCCCTAACGACCCCTTATAGGTGTGTCGGGTTTATATCAAACGTCTAAGAATTTCTAGAGCTTTCAAATGAGCCATCATGCACTAAAATCGCTTAAAATTTAAAAAAATGTCTTTTTCACCCCTCCGGCAAAAGGACTTCCACGTCAGCAAACGGAAAAGACATGGTTCTACCTTGAGTGTTTGAGAAACGCGCCAATTTTCGTTGTAGGAGTAAATGTGCATGTCTTTTAAAACACTTTACAGTGACCAAATCTTTTCAAATCTTTTGGAAACATTGAAATAGTTACATTGGCTATCCAACTGTGTTAAATTAACCACAATGGTGTTGCAGATGTGTCGGTAGGTGTGTCGGATTTGGTATCAAACAAAAAATTGTACAGTGTCAGTAATGTTAAGAAACAAATCAGGTTCTAATTTATTTGATGCAAGTATATCAAACAAAGACAAGTAGGCCTTTGTGAAGTTCCATCTTGTTGAAGGAGGAACATCTGAAGGTAAGACAGGTTTTTAAATGGTGCGGAAATGATCACTGCCACAGAGGTCTTCGTGGACGGACCATTCGTTTAATAAATCAGAATCTGTTATTGACAAATCAAGAGCAGAGTAGGTACCCGTACCGGGATGCAGATATGTATTTGAACAATCATTGTAGATACACAAGTCGTTGTTTGAAATGAAATCTTCCATACATGTGAAACCCATTGGTTTCTAATATTCTTTCCAGCCTTGATTATTTACATGCCGACGTCATATAGCTGGAATAGTGCTGAGTGCGGCGTTAAACAATAAACAAACATACAAAAAGTTATATACGTAGCAGGCGATCATACACAAGAATAACTTGTTCCCATATTGCTACAATCTTGGACTTTATAGATTTATGGTATATAGATAACCTAATTGACATATTTTTCTGATGTATGCGCCATTTGACCCGTCACTATATAAGTGCAATAATCTTGAACGCAACCCATGGAAAAGAGGAATTACGTGAGCATGTCAAGAGCATCGAAGGCGTTGTAGAGAGATATCTCGGACGAAATTTGAGGATTGGGCTTTTGACTTCTGTTCAACTTTTTCTTTTCTTTTTTCTTTAACTTTCGGTCAGGTCTTTGTGGAGACTGAGGTGGAGACTGAGACTGAGCCTGCAAGGTCAGAGGTGATGCTTCTGAAATAGTTGGTTGAAAGACAGATGAAGTTTGGACTGGTTGATCAGATCTGACCCATGTCAAATCTGTCTGATACAGGACAGATAAATTTTTAACAGGACGGGCGATGTGCAGCAGAGTAATTCATATTTGAAGGAGTTGTGGACTGACTGGCAACAAGTTGTTTAGCGTCTGCAAATGAAATGTTTTTTTCGCACTTTAATTTCATTATTTTGGTTTCTGTTTGCCAAATAGGGCAGGGTTTGGAAGAGGCCATGTGTTAGCCATCACAGTTGCAACATTTCAGATCTTCATGACAATTCATGCTCTCATGGTTGGCACCACAGCGCTGACAAACCACAGTGCGATTACAGGTTTTTGAACCATGTCCAAATTTTTGGCTTCTGTAGCAGCGGAGTGGATTGGGGACATACACATCCACCCCGATGTTAACATAACCAGCTTTAATTGATTTTGGAGTTGACGCACAGGCAAAAGTGAATAGATAAGTATTTGTTGGAATAATGTTTGATTTGTCATCTTTGCGAGTAAAACGTTCAACCGATTGGACAGCTTGATTCTTCAGTTCAGAGACAATTTTCTCCTCTGACATATCAACCAAGTAACGATTCTAGTCACGGACAATCCCACGAGAAGAGTTCAGTGTTCTGTGCTCAGAAACAACAACGTCAATATTGGCAAATTGATTGATTGATTGATAAGAGATTGAGTGATTGTTGTTTCCGAGCACATTCAACCAGAAGAGATCCAGAACGGAGTCGGCTGACATTTTGAACTTCCCCACAATGCCCTTGTATTGCTTTAGAGATAGCAAAGAGATTTAACTTGATAGGTAGGTGATTTGAAGCATCAATTACAAGGAATCGAGCCCAGGAATCAAGATTTGTTTCAGCCTCATCACATGAACTTGAGTTTAAATGTCTTCTTTTCTATCCAGAGTGATTGTGAGCCATGATGAAAGAAAATTGTTCTGCATCCCTGCTCCCCACCCACCATGGAGTGTCAAAAAGACATACATGTGTGGTATACTCCAGTAAATACGACATGAAGAGCTATATTTGTCTACCAATTATAATGTCAGACTGGTTCGGCCTTTGACAGAAAATTGGAGACATACAGAAATCAGAGGTCGACATCACCAGATTGGCCCATGAGCCACCGCCTTCTGGCATAAGACTCTAGGCAAATTGTTACATAAATAATTTGAGAATGCGAACATGTTATACATGGCCAAGTCTAATTATTACATTTATCAAAATCACGTTTGTGCATACACAATTTTATGCACAGGGTTTGGCGTGACCATCCGATTGATAGAAACGGGCCCATTCTTCCACCCGTCTAGGTGAAGTAAGGGTCGAAGTGGTGTGTTGGGCAAATGGAACACCGGTTCCTGGCTCCAGAGCCCTCAACCACCAGACTCCCTTCCTCCACCGACACAGGGGCGCAACCCACGCAAACAGGTTGCCAAATTTAGTCGCCTCATACGACCAGCAATGGGGTGCTATGGAAACATTTTGCCCCGGTTCCACATGGGGGAAGAGCTATTAGTGTTACCCAGCACTCACCACGGGGTGGTTGCTCTTCACGAGTGCCTAACTTGTACTATCAGGTATTTTGTAGTAGCCACGTTTTTTCGGTTGAATTATTTCCAGTGCTCCTATTCCCTTCACAATTAGTCTATTGTTATGTTTTAAACCCTTTTTCACTTCTTAATAATGTTCAACTTGTCACATAATTAGACATAATGTTTCAGTCAATTAGGTTTTTAATGCCATGTACTGTTCAAATGGCGAAACTATAATAAACTTTTTTGTATTGCATTGTGTTGTATTGTATTGTATTGTATTGAGTGAGTTAAATTTTACATCGCATTGGCAATATTTCAGTCATATAGCGATGGGAACTAGGTATTAAATCTAAAATATCAGTCAACAAAGGACAGTAAAATAGTAAGATATATCACAGTTTTTAATAAAACAAACTAGATCATAATTTATTTTAAAAAACATATAGCTATAATAGATTAAGTCCTATCAATTAAAACAAGACTATAGACCACTAATATCCAAAGTTAGACCACCTTACTGGAGATCATGGGGACTTACAGTACCTATGCTTCCTGCATGACTCCCCAGCAGGATTTATGCCATCCCTTTTGCTACCAGTGGCTGTACCGTATGCTAGCCAATATTAAAAAAGACAATACAATCTAAGTTCTAAAACACAAGTCAATATTATTTACCTTGATCGAGAATGGATTTACGTGGCACTAGCAGGAGGACAATCTTTTTACGCTACTTTAACCACCCGAGTGGCACCACCATCAATAATGGCTCAGTTACGAGCAGGTGTGTTTGGATATTTCAACGATCTGGCTATGGAATGTATGTGCATAACTGCCTATTTTGGATTTCTCCATGGTGGAGAACTTACTCGTCGTTTGATCCAGATGTACATCTAACATTAAAAGCTTCCAAAACAGATCCCTTCAGAAAGGGCGTGCAACTAGCGTTGTTCGCTACATCTAAGACTGTGTGTCCTTACATGACCCTTATGACATGGCTTCAAGTTAGGAAGTTGAACGGAGCAAGACCCAGTGATCCTCTCTTTGTGGAATCGAACTCTAGAGCTAATACTTGAGCTGTCTTCTTGTCCTGGCTGAACATTGCTCTCACCAGGGCAGGCTTAGAATACAGTGCTTATTCTGGACACTTGTTCCGCATTGGTGCAGCAACTACAGCTGCTAGTGCCAGTGTGGAAGATCATTTGATTAAGACATTGGGCAGGTGGAATTCAGACTGTTTCACCAGATACATCAGAACACCAGGAGAGACATTAAGGAAAGCCTAACGAACATTATGCTTTGAGTGACTTGCTAGAAGCTTGACGATTGTGTGTGTTGTGACTTCCTGACTCTGTTCAATCTTGTTCTGCGACATTACCTGGATTATATAACTCATTGGACAATATTAAATTCAGTTTTTAATTCTCATATGTATCTTATTTAACATTATCGTTTTATATCATCAATTTTATACTTTTCTTATCACTTTGGGGGCTCTCGGTTTTTACCTCGCTTTGGGCTTTGCGAGTCAAACATTCTGTAAACTATCATTTTATAGCTTGCAGCCCCCAAAGTATTTTCATTTTCACTCATACCCACAGGGTATCACTCTTTCTACTGATTTTCATTTCACTCACACACCAAGGGTATCACCCTTTCTACTGACCCGTAGGGTCTCTAAATTACATTGCCGGCAGGGCAACCTTTCTTTTTTGGTATAACCTTTTTAGATCTACGCACATGTAGGTAAGTATGGGGTTGCCAGCGGTATGATCAATTAGAACGAGTTCATCTTTTGGCATGTAAAAGGTTTTTTTAAGGTGGGAAAACAAACGCCAAATGTTGTCGCTACCCGCTTTATGTCAACGCACTGGTCCGCATTATAAAGTATTGGTTAAAATTAACCAGAATGCATGAAGGGCGTATCCCAAGAAAAGTATATATAACATGTTGATATATTTCGACAACATTGGTCATAATGCTTGGGTAGCATCTGTTCGTAACATTTTCGCATGGTTTGGGATTTGTATGGTTAAACCAGTCTGTTGGGGACAATGCAGCTTTCACTGGGGTATTTAAAACGTATAGTCTTGCAGATGGATGTCGTCAAAACTGGATGTCAACACTCAACAGTAGTAACCGATATGTGATGTATAAAGAATCTAAAACACTGTTTGAACCTGAAAGATATTTGAGTATTTATAATAACAAACATGTACGCAGTGTTTTTATTAAATTAAGATGTCATGTTTTACCTTTACCACAGAACGAGGGAAGATGGCAATCTATTGAATCATGTTAACGTATGTGTCCTCTTTGCAATGTGTCTGTTGAAGATGGATATCATTTCGTATTGATCTGTAAACATTATACTGAACTTCGTAAAGTTTATTTGCCAGAATTGTATAGAAAATTTCCAACTATATAGACATTAATTTTTTTTATTGTTTACAACTCAGGATGAGGTATCAAAACGTCTGCAATATTATGTATATATTCATACAAACAAAGACATGAAGTCGTAAAATCCATGTAATGTGCTTCACATTGTATTACTGGCATTGCCTACACACAAATAAACTAATTTTGACTTTGACTTGACTTGATACTTGGAAAGGGACACTCTGTTGTGGGTATGCCAGAAATGACGAATAACGGTGCTAGTTGAATTTGGCAACACTTTTGCCTGGTGTACAAAGACCCTATCCACCCTGGCACTGGTCTTCCGTGGACGTCCTGAATTCTAATGAGTCGACTGATTACAGTAAACGTGATCAAACAACACAGTGGCAATAGCCCGACATGACATGCTAGCTTGGTGCATGATAATGATTTGCCATCTTTGATTTTAAGGGATAGTACACTTTGGAATTTCAGTTACTATCGTTCCAAAAACAGACTTTCAAATTTGTAGACCTTTCATTCAAATTAATAGCAGTAAAGACGCATGAATTTTCTGTAATCAAATATGAATTTCTCTTTGAGACCCTTAAGGTGTGCATACGGCTCGCATAAACGCACCTCATGGTTGGGCTGGTAAGGGGCTACCATTCCACAGGCAGATGATGTTACAACACACTGTACCATCTGATAGCTTAACATTGAAAATTAACTCGCATGTACACTTCAAATTTCGTAGTGCGATGCTTTTGACGAGGTGTATATTAGTCTATAGAGATACGTGGATGTTTCTGGTAGACTATAGTGAAAGGATAGATGTTTCTGAGAGACAATTGTGTATGGGTAGATGTTTCTGGTAGACTATAGTGTATGGGTAGATGTTTCTGGTAGACTAAAGTGTAGGTGTAGATGTTTCTGGTAGACTATAGTGTATGGGTAGATGTTTCTGGTAGTCTATGGTGTATGGGTAAATGTTTCTGGTAGGCTATAGTGCAAGGATATATGCTTCTGGTAGACTATAGTAAAGGGGTAGATGTTTCTGTTAAATTATAGTGTATGGGTAGATGTTTCTGGTAGACTATAGTGTATGGGTAGATGTTTCTGGTGGCCTATAGTGTAGGGGTAGATGTTTCTTGTAGGTTGTAGTGTAGGGGTAAATGTTTCCTGTACGATCTTGTGCAAGGGTAGATGTTTCTGGTAGGCTATATTACAGGGGTAGATGTTTCTGGTAGACTATAGTGTAGGGGTAGATGTTTCTGGTACGCTCTAGTGCAAGGGTAGATATTTCTGGTAGGCTATATTAGAGGGGTAGATGTTTCTGGTAGACTATAGTGTAGGGGTACATATTTCTGGTAGGTTATAGTGTAGGGGTAGATGTTTCTTGTAGGCTATAGTGAAGGGGTAAATGTTTCAGGTAGACTATAGTGCAAGGGTAGATGTTTCTGGTAGGCTATAGTAGAGGGGTAGATGTTAGTAGTATACAGTGCACTTATGCCCGTTTTTTAATTGCAGCCCTCCCATTGGCTGATTTCTGCCCGTCATATATTGCAGCCCTCCCATTGGCTGATTCTACCCGCAGGGTCCCCCTCCCCCACCTCCCAACTCAGAGTAATGACGTCATATAGTTCTGTCCTCTCATTGGCTGATTTCTACCCGCAGGGCCCCCTCCCCCACCCAGGGGTCCCACCCCTCCACCCTCCACCCAGGGTCCCATCCCATTATGATTTCAGCGCTGTTATGTATCTTATTATTAATTAAACCTAGTGAATGCTATTCTAGACTTAGTGCATACTAAAATAAAACAATTGTGTTTAATTTTTCTGCCCTGTGGTTTGAAGTGGGGGTCAGCATTTACACGTCTCCTCTCTCCAACATTCTCGAGTCCAATGGTCTTCTCACAGTGTTGACAACACTCTAAATCACGTGACTAGTCTAAACCAATCGCTAATGTATTCAATACAACCACGTGACTGTCGGTAAGCGTGGACCAATCAGATATTAATATCCAAGGGTGTTCACCACACGCTAAATCACGTGACTAGTCTAAACCAATCGCTAATCTACTCCAGACAACCACGTGACTGACGGTAAGCGTAGCCCAATCAGACATTACCAATCATTGGTAGCACCCGTAATAACGATATTACTTCCCCCACTACTCCACGTGTCAAGTAAATAAAAAAAACATATGCTATTTTCATATGGTAACAATAATTATTTATTTATGAAAATATGTACAGAATCAATACCATAAAACAATTCAAACTCTTATTATGAAATGCTTTACAACAATTAGGCAACAATAATCGAATTAAATACATACATACATACATACATACATACACATATAGTTATGAAACAAACTTCACAATTGTTACATGGTATACACAACGATGACGTACAGTAGTTGTCAAAACTGTAATACAAATATTAATCAAGCCTCAAATAATACAGTGTATTCAAAGTGCAACACGTATAATGTACAAACATGCTCATGACTACAGATACATATTTTTCACATGAAATATAGTAATAATAATAATATATACACATATCAAATGACAGTTAAAAACTAAAAACAATCTATTCAACCCAGCCATAAGGTAGCGTTTCTGCCTGTATTCCCTCTGTATTTGAAAGCAGTCTACGTTTTGTATAAACACGTCTGTATTTCTTCGACACGTGTTTAGACACGATTTCATTATTTTTTCGCAGGCCTCCCTGGATTATCTGAGAAGGATAATCAATGGTTATTGTATCTTCACCATTGTTAATAATCAACTCTTTCATGGTCTCCATGTTTAATTTCTTACTGGCTTGATAATTCAAAGTGAAGCCTCTCACTTTACAGGTAGTTTGTGTACCGTCCTTCCTGGGTTTGGCTAGCAAATAGCTATAATTCTTCGGACCGGCCGATACGAATGTTTTAATGGTATTCCCATCCAATTCGTCTGTAAGTTCTCCTAGAGAATCGCCCAGCGGTGGATTCCATTCTTCTGCACGGTGTATGTAGATAACGCTGTCTGTATCGAAATAGAGCACGCGCCGGTCCAATGGTTTTATGTAGCTGTAAAGCTTTAGTCTAGCTTGAGCAGTCACCCAGGCGGCGATGACAACATTGGAAGCCGAGTGCGGTGTGAGATAATCGTTCTCGGGTTCATAAGAGACGAACAATAGGTTATCATTGATCACCAGTACGCTCTGTACCCGTAAGCTTTCATCCAATAGCATATGAAAAAACGTCATTGGATCGGACAAATATTCTGATTTAGTAACCGATTCCTGTTGAGCTAGTTTACCCCAGAAATTATTGAGACAAGCCTTGCCCAACATTCTGAGTCCAGGGTTTTTCACTACGTTTGCCTCGTTAAGTCTCACGCCTTCTTTGTCGAATATGGTCTGGACATACTCTTGAAGGTTTTCACACTGTTCGGGAGGTCCACTGGCTTCTTGCTTCAACTTGAAGAAATTGTTCACATAGTCAGTGAATAATCCCCCTTGCCTGCTGTCCTTGTCATACTGTGCAAATTCCTCAAAATGCCAAGCCTCGAATATGTGTAGAACTTCATAGTCGCATTCCCTCACAGCTTCCTGAACTTCTACCGTGGCGTAAGTCCCAACCCAGGCTCTCTCCTCATCGGTGTGGGAACAAGTCTCCTGCTGTTGAGAGTCAGCACATGTCCTACATAAGGGGAACATAAGTTTGCCACAGGTTCTGTAGGGAAGCAGGGGATGGTATAACCGCTTTGGTGGGAGTATGCGACACATGACTAGACCATGTAAATCAAACAGTCTCGACACGTCCGGCTTATCTACTATCTTTGGATGACCCACTGGGTATCTACCGTATTTGTTGATGTATGGGTAAAGTGAACACACATCCACATACATGATTTTTTCATCTTCCCCAGCCTCATGAAATAATTTGGTAGCGTTAGTACGCCCTCCAAAAAAAGCATCGCGGGGGTTCAAAGGCATGGGTAGATATTCAAAACCCTTGAGAAAATTGCCTAATTCAGGGTTCTCTTTTGTCTGCCCTTGAAAACCGCATTCCCATATAGTCACTACAGCGTTGACCTCAGGATGGTTTCTTAGTAAAGCCAGTCTGAAGTGGGTTTGATGTAAAGTCTCGGCCATAGAGATTCCCAGGGTGGGATGAGGCTTACTTCTACTGGTTTTATAACATCTAGCACAGCCGTGCCAGAAACATCCCAAGTATTCGTACACCGTTTTTGTCTTCTTGTCGAAGCCATCTACGCTGTAGGTTTTTCCATTGGAACAGTGAAATCTCATTTCACCACCATTTCGGGAATGTTGTATGTCCAAAGTTGCATCAACATTCATTAACCACGCCAACCACTGTAGTGACTGAATAGAATAGCGAACATGAGGTCTGTAACCCAGAGGTGGGATAATGGCGATCGTATTTTCAGGAAGATAATTCTGTCTGTAAACCAGCATACAGGCCATGGGGAGGGTTATCGCATCTTTAAAGGGATCAACCCGGTTTTGATCGATAAAGAGTTGTCGGAAGGCAGCACATCCTCTCCTCAAAATATCGACATCACTCAGACAGTAGGCCAAAATTTCTTCCCCCATGTCAAATACAGCATTTTGGGCTATCTTGCCATCGTACCATTTCATGAAAGCTTCTCTATCCGTGATAGACATGCTGTCAGCGCCATAACTCTCAACTGGGGGATAGGGTCCGACGTAATCTTCATTGGCAGCAGTATTGAAGAAATGAGGAAAGTAGCCCTTCTGCAGCTCCGACAATCCAAAGGTCTTCGGGAAGTTTTTAAGAGGCATGGAGAGGAAATTTAGTGAATCTTTAAAAGTCACTCGACCAACCTTCATTTGCAGTATTTGCTGACCACGCATAAGTATCTCAGGAGGTTTCACTATCTTCTTATGAAGATACTGTAGCAGAAGGTGTCCGTCATATCCCCTATAATTGTGGGCTATGGCTATAATGGCCTCTTCCTCATCATCATCGTCCCCTTCATCCGTACCATCCTCAGAGTCACCGTCTGACTGCCTCTTTCTTTTCTTTCCCTTTTTCTTCGTTCCACCGTCGGCAACCCTGAGCAACCAGTCGCCCATATCGTTCAGCGAGGATGCACCTTTAAATACCTTGACTCGGCTTGGTCCCTCTCCTTCAGCTCGCCATGGACAGGTATCACACAAGTTGTCAGACTTGTTTCCAATACATCCCCCACACCCTAAGTGTGTCACGCATAAATTGGGTACGTGTTTGCCGGTGTCTTGAGCGGTCTCGAAATCGTAAAATATGAATCGACGTTTGGCCCTTTCCTGGGGTATATCGCGTTTCCTACAATCTCGAGACGCTCCCGGCATCCCTTGGAGCAGCTGCTGCGTCATTTCCTCATCCTGTATTGGCTGTATATAACATCGATGGTCCAGAGACAAGGGCTGCTTGCAAATCTTACAGTCTCTGTTTTCCGAACAAACGTGATCAATCGACGTTTTAAATTCCTCCAGACATTGCTTGCAGCGATGAAACACATCACAGGTAGACGCTCCATCCATGGCTCGTGTCAAATGACGTTGATAGCATCGGACATTGACGAACCATCGATTACAGGTCAAACAGCTCACACCCATGTCGATCTTAGCCCCGCAAAAACCAGGCCGTTTACACTGATAACAGTGGAAGTCGCGGGTACATTTATGATTGTTGACTGTACTGTAGCCAATATCGCAAACTTCGCAGTATCCATTATATCCAGTGAATCCTGTCATGGTAGTGATCACGTCATAATGATTGTCATTATGAAACAGATGTAGGATGTTTTCAGCATCTACAACGGGGGTTTTGTACATCAGCTTGTTGAAAATATCTGCTGAATATATCTTTAGCTGATAAGTAGGAGCCAGGTGTCTGCCTAATGCTTCCCATGTTTCCCGACCTAGACACGGACCCACGACAATCCCAGCATTCTGCATTAGGTTTATCGCTTCATCTCTTTGCCTGTCACCTTTCTTACGAATTTCTGTCAGGGATCTGAGCTTTTTACGCCAGGCGACATAATCGGGATGTTTTCTGTCCAACGGTTCGGGTTTTGAACAGTAATGTATGGCTGTCACAAGGGCCCTAGCAAAACAGAGATCATCATTGTTCCTTATCTTTAAAATAGACCTCTTCATTTCTTTAAAACATTCTATACTTATTGGAGCTTTCTTAGATCTATGACCTCTTCCTTCGCCAACACGATTTGGATCCTCGACGTGTAAAAATTCGATGGTCATAGTATCATCTACCGCGAGATCGACATTACTTTGATGAAACTTTTCAATCAGGTTCATAATGTCTTCTCCTCTTAGCTCTATATGGCGACGGAAACCTATCCTCATTGGAGCGTCCAAAGCTGGATGACGAATAGCTAACCCTACTCTGTCATTATCTTGACCATCTACCTGTTGACGTAGATCCTCCAGTATACGGTCAAACATCCTTCTCAAGACGACTGGTAAATTCTCGGGTCTCTGAACATTTAACCACTCACGATTAAATCGCAAGCGGTAGTTGTTGACATTGAGTCTGAATCTTCGAACCCTCTGTCGTTCGAATATCTCGAGTTCGTACGGTTCAACTTCACCCCCCAACTGTTCAACGTCTTGAGTACTATCAGTATCTTCACCCTACAAAGAATGATAATTGATGCTATATTAAATAACTTGAATCGGCCATAAATAATAAATATTATAACTCGTCTACATCGAAGAAATATATTGTCGAGAAATAGTTATACTCAAAGTAGCATGTGAACATAAGTAAAACGTGGAATTCAGTACAAATGTTTTATTACATTCTTTTTAATCGTCAGTAAAATTCACCAGTACTGACCTCTGATTCTTCCTCGCTCGTGGAAATCATGAGGTTTCCCACATCACAAGACATGTCTTCCGATGTATCGCAATTGATCAGTTCCTTGAACGAAAATATAGGAAATAGTAAATAAAGATTTATACCAGAATACACCTCAGTACACGTACATCGTATACGGATATATTTATAGAAAATAGTTTACATAGAGTCGAATACGTTATAAAACACTATTTTTATACTCGGTTTAAACATACCTCCGCATCCGTATTATGATCGCTATCATCCTGGGTGTCATAGGAAACGGTAAATATTTCGTTGTCCCAGTTGCCGTACCACGAAACCTCTTCCTACAATAGAAAATATAATTCAGGCTATTTTATAGTATGTGCAAGGTTTTCATACTCGTTAAACAATTTGAACGGTAAGTAGTTGCACGCTTTGACAAGCTCAGAAAAAACAACAACCAAAAAACAACATACCCCGAAATCCGATTCAAAATCCTGACTCTGTTCAGCGGGAACGTTTTCAACATTCACAATTATGACGTCATCATCATCTTCCTCGTTGACCCTTTCGGCTTCCAATAGTCCCGCCAATAGCTCCAAATCAGTGACGCCATCGCTCCACGAATCAGTGTCTGTTTCAGATGCTTTCTAAAATAGCGGTAATAATTCCATACATTACTAACGGTACAATTACACACGTTTGGTGTTTGTTTTTTTACATAATAAATGTGTCTATAAAATACATTAGCTACACACTAGTATTTAAGAAAACAATTCAAACATACCTCAAGATCAGCTTGCGTAGACATTTCTCGTTCTACATTCTCTAAGTGTTCTACTAAGATCGAGTCATCATCGTCATTTTCGAACTGATCTTCAACAGTGACCGATAGTTGATCCTCTTCTTCCTCGCGGAGATGTTCTAAGAAGGCGAGAACTTTGTCTAGGTTATCAGAAGTCAAAGTCTTCAGGTACTCGGTTATTTGTTCCTGGGCCATGATCGTATCGTAGAAATGTACTTTCGAAAGGCGCACTCACCAGTTAATATAGCAGTTAACTACCTGTCATTAAACGTCATGTATGTACGATAACGATCAAACAATATTATGCTGACACGACAGCCGGATTCAATTACGAATGCATCGATGTTAAAGGAGATATCGAGGACAAAGAGAGGTCACGTGTCCTCTCACTAATTAAGTAAATAGTTGTCCCTTGTAATACACTGGTCAGTGGAAAACTTACCCCACCCCTTTGACACCTAGTCACAGCCACAGATGGGTCGACAGCATTCTCGTCGCCACGGCTTTTCATTAAAATAATTCTTATCATAAGGGTTGACCAGCGGTCATGAGTCGAAGGGTTACGAGTTGGAGATAAACTTAATACATGTACTATCATTGAATGACACTGGACAGATCCTGTCCAGATACTGTCCAGATACTGACCCGATACTGTCCACATACACACCAGCTGCTAACCAGATGCAGAGAATTGTATAGGTAATCTAACTTGTGCTATCTAATAACTACGTTTCTCGGACAATGGGCGGAGATTTAAGGCACTATTTATTGGCGAACATCTACGTGTTTCATTCCTGCAGCAAACTACTCTTTGCAAACATGTCAGATAGCTCACGTCCCGTCAACGGTCAGCGCTGTCACCTGGAACTCGGCAATGATGTGTACGTGGTAGCGTCTACTTGGCGAGGTGTCCTTAAAATTCATGTACGTGAATACAGAAGGTCGGGGGAAAAGTACATCCCAACCAAACGAGGTATTACCTTAACATTACAACGGTGGAATGAGCTCGTGTCAAACAGATCCAGGATCGAAGAAACTATAGAAGGCGGTGAAGGCGGCGAATTCAAATGTCATCTCGGCGGGAATGTGTACGCTAATATGCAATCAGACTACCCCGGACTGGACATTCGCAAATGGTATTGGAATGGCGAAGAAGACACGATAAAACCGTACAGCCGCCCGGGAATTAAACTCTGGCCAAAACAGTTGGAGAGTCTGCTGCAAAGTTTCAATGCTCTGCCCGATTATGTGCCCGAACTAAACATAACCGTACCGTGTTATATGGAAGCCGACCATATGAACCAAATGGGTTATTATATGTGTTCGGAGTGTAACCCGAATGGACTGTCGGTGTGGAACTAATACGTCGTTACCGATGACCCCTTTACCTGTTGCGTCGGTCATCCTGACAACTTTGTTCCCGTGACGTCTACACGTTTTCTAAGAATAAACATACATCAATCGTTCTCAATGTTTTTGTCTTTATTCTGACCGTCTCTAGTGGACATTTCAGGTGTCAATATTGCTGGAGTATTGCTAAAAGCGGCGTAAAACCATTCCCACTCACTCACTAAAGCCAATTTCACCTCTGTCTTTATTCGATATTTATAACGTTTTCTGCTCAGGTGTTCGACATTAGGTGGACTGTCGCCGACATGTCAGGACACGTAGAACTATCGTGGGATACATTCACGTTTAAACACCCTTTCCGCGTATTGATAAGTGGAAGTAGCGGTGCTGGAAAGACAACCTTTGTATATAAGTTGCTGCAGAGTTTAGATAACGATTTACCACTGTGCGAAAAACCCGAGAAACTGCGAGAAACACGGTATAACCATATATTTTATACGTAACGTCATCGAAGCAGAAATGTTAGTTCGAGATAAGAGTTGGATAGTCGTAGACGATTTTCTGGGCGATATTACGTCAGAGGAAGAGTCAGAGTTACTTAGATGGTTCGTGAAAAAGTCGAGTCACAGAAATGTATCACTCATATATTTACAGCAAAATTTATTTGCTAAAACGAAACACCATCGAGCTATAAGTTTAAATAGTACTCATATGGTAGTTTATAAAAACCCGAGAGATGGGTCTCAAATCGAAACATTAGCTCGTCAAGTATATCCCACGAAAATAAAATTTATACGAGAGGCGTATTACAAGGCGACGAAATTACCTCATACTTATTTGATGTTAGATCTGACTCCCGCGACACCCGAAACGTATAGATTTAGAGGGAATATATTTGACGGGGCAATAGATGTATACATACCTTACTCGTAGCGCAAACACGCGTTACCTTAAAGCACTACGTTACGGTATATAACTGTCAAAATAATGCGCGAGTGTTTGTCCATAACGTTACATCCATTGTCTTAAAGGGGACGGTATAACGATGCTAGTATTATAAGAGGTTAACCCTAGAGGTCTACGCGCATTGTCTCGTGGTACCGCTGTTACGCCTTAAAGGGTAGGTCTACGTATAAAATCAGAACTCGTAGTCCAACCGTACGGGTATAAAGGGTGACACTGTCGTCCTTAAGAGGTGTTAATACGCGAAATTACCTCGCCCTCATCATTCGATATCGTCATGGCGTGGTGTCAACAAGGTTGTAAATCGTGGGACCGCGTACATAGTGCTGATAAGGATGGAGCCTATAGTAGCGAAAGTTGTAGTAGCGATTCCCGGGACAGTAGTGACGACAGCGCGACGTCTGAGTACGACTTCACCGACACTAGTGACTACGATACATCTACAACTGAAACTAGTTCGGAAGAAGGGAGTAGTACCGATACCGACGATGAAAATGTTAACGTAAATCCGGCGAAAACGATCGATAGTCACGTGACTAAACCGAAGACGTCCGGGGTACAAAAGAATAAATCTAACGTTAACCGTCTCAAATTGAAGCTAGACATTCCTCCGGCTACATCTTGGGAAGAGTCATGAATAAGAGTATAGTGAAGAAAAATGCCGATATATTACACTTTATGTGTAGAGCAACGCCTCGCGTTAGAAACAAGCTTATACGTCATTTACCTAAAGAAGTCGTAGACGCCATATCCGAGGTAGCGTCGAATATATTTCTCGGACACGTACCGATGAGTGTCAGTCAGAGAAAATCCTTACTCAAACATAGAACAAAACTACACGAGCTCAGAAAAAAGCGAGGGTCTGTAAAACAGAAGAAACGAATACTACAGCAAAAAGGAGGATTTATCGGGGCATTAGCGGCAGTTTTAGCGCCTCTGGCTATTAAGGTCTTGTCGGGTATAGTATCGTAATGTCTTCGGATCAAGCCAGACGTATGATTTTAATCCCCTATTCTCTATACGAGACTCTGACGCAAAAACGGGATAACGGTATATTGAAAAAAGATTTTATTTTCAATCAGTCGAGGAAAACTAATTTAAACGAGATTCGAGAAACGCTGGAAAACGACGACACTACTTCCTATGACCGGCTACAGAAATACAACGGTCTCTTAGAAAAAGCTTTAACTTTACAACGTCGAGCTAGAATAAAAGAGGAAAAGCCGCGAAAGGCATTATCCGTCGACGAAATACCGCCGAAGCAAAAGCCAGTCCAGACCAGTCACGACGGATTTAGCGTAGTGTCGGATACGTTGCAAACTCTACCTAAAACGTATAAAAATACCGCTCTCTCGATACTGGAACGCATAACAAAACATCCTAGATTGGGGTGGGACGAATATGGGAGGTTAAAGGTCGATGGTCAGACTTTACGAGATCATAGGGTTGCCGATATCGTAAGGGATTTATCTCGCACTAAAACGACAGCCTCGCCCCCTAAGGGTTGGGATATCGTCCTGGGGTTATTAAAGGAACGGGGTTTAAATAGGGAGATGATAGGTAATAGACGACGTTGGCGAGAGTTAGAGTGGCAGTACGGGCACGAAGACACTGAACATGAACAAATTTACACCCCGAGTCCCAAGAAGAAAACAAAAAGTTCGAGAAAAAGTTTATCGTGGGAAGCCACCTATTCTAAGTAAAAAGTGGTCTGATTGGTTAAAAAGAGTTTATTACGACAGAAAGCATGTCGCGAGTTATGGCGGCGTTACACCTTTAATGGATGCTATAGGTCGGACTAGGAAACGCAATAAACCTACGCGTGGAATGGTACAAAACTGGTTAGAAAGTCAGACAGCGTATACGCTGCACAGAGATGTACGAAATAAGTTTCAGAGAGATTCGTTTAATTCGTCTATCGTTACTAGCGACCAGTTGTGGCAAATGGATTTGACCGTTATGGCGTCTTTGGCTAGCGAGAATGACTCGTATAAGTATATCTTGTGCGTTATAGACGTGTTTAGTAAAATGGCATGGGTGGAGCCTTTGAAATTAAAAAATCCTTTACACGTTCTCGAAGGTTTTAAACGCATTCTCAAACGCGCTGAACCTCGAACTCCTGAAAGTATTCAAAGCGATAAGGGAAAAGAATTCGATAACAAATTATTTAAAAGTTTTGTAAAAAATGAAATGCAGTCCAACTATTATACTAGTCAGAATCCTCAAACCAAGTGCGCGGTTGTTGAAAGATTTCAAAGAACCCTAAAACAACGTATGTGGAGGTATTTTACTAAAACCCGTTCTTACAAGTATATCGACATATTACAAGATTTGGTGACGGCTTACAATTCGAGTTATCATAGAACTATAGACAGAAAACCTCTGGAAGTCAGACGAGATAACCCGGTAGTTGAAATAGGCGTGCTCGATTTCATAAAAAGTTCGCGAAAGAAACGCCTGAAAAAATTAGCGTTAAAGGTTGGTACTCCCGTTAGATTAAGTAAAAGTAAAATGGCGTTCGAGAAAGGTTATACTTCTAACTGGAC